GTGTGTGTGTGTGTGTGTGTGTGTGTGTGTGTGTGTGTGTGTGTGTGCGTGTTGGGGGGTGGGGGGCTCTGTTCTTGTGTCAGTGAACATGTTTTATTAATCATGATCGCTGGAGTTTGTCTGCATAGCTTAACATGTCTGCATGTGTGTGGCGGCCTCTGGGTGAATGTTTGGACGTGGATTGTCTTAATTTTGATACATTTGGAGAATTTCTCGACCCCCCCCCCCCCACACACACACACACACACTTGAGATTAGACACATTAACAGCAGTGCTTAGTAATGCCTCATTATCTCAAGGGTTGCTTATTTTTTTATTTTTGACAAAAAAACATGAATAATTGCACCAAATATGAAGCAACTGAAAATCTTTTAGTTCCACATCAACGAGCCAATTTTATTCTTTGTCAGTCAGTTTACCCAGCGCTGCTGAACTGTTTAAACCAACCAGTGAGATGTCTCTGCGCACCACTACCCAACATACCAAAAAAAAAACAAGAAGATTACCACGTATGTTTTAATGCGCTGCACCTAATTGCTCCTGACAGATGATAATTATCATCAGGGATTTGTTCACCCACTCATCCAATGAAATGGCTTCATTCTTCCGGAGCACCGTTTTGCCATTCCTGGTGTCGCAATTAAGGAATTAGATGGATATGCTCCTTACCTTATGGGTGGCAATTAGCTGTGACCTTTAAAATTCAAAGGTGATGCATTAAGATGTTATCAATTATGAGGATCAGACTCATAGATGTTGCTGTCGCCGAGCTTTCATCCGTGAAAATGATGTTAATCACAAGCATGGCCGCCCGACAGGAAGTAGTGAGACAGACTTTAGTATGAATCCTGTGAATTTCTGTGTATCACTTTATCCAAATTACTGGTACTGTATCAGTAAATTATGGTTTTGTTTGCATTTTTACAAAAAAAAAAAAAAAAAAATTCTTAAAAAACTACAAACTACTTATTGAATAAACATACACATTTTAAAACATGTTGCACAAGTTTTATGGCTTTTATTTTAAAGTGATGTAATTGTTGCATCAATTTAGCAAATCTGGGCATGTTTAATGCTTCTCTTTTATCGGTTTATTTGTTTGAATATTGACACTGCGTGAGCTGAAGATTTTAATAAATTAAAATAAAGTCTTGTTGTATTAACAGGTCCCATATGTGTCACATGTACTGAATGAATATGAACATGTTTAACAGAGACAGTAAGATTTATGTACTAAATCTGAAAACGTTTGTTCGGTCAGGTAATTTAAAATGGGTTCAACCAGTTCAATGAAGTGTGGAAACAACAGTAGTAAAGAAACTGAGTAAATAAAAGATTATTTTTATCCAGTTACAAAATACTGCAAATACTCTATTCTGAAATAAATCAATATTATTCTGAGGTATGAAGTGGAAATGTGATTATTATTATTATTATTATTAGTTTGGGTCAGGAAGGACATCCAGCATAAAAACATTATTATTATTATTATTATTATTATTATTTTATTTTTTTAATTGTGCTCTATAAATAAATATGACTTGACTTGACTTTTATTGTTGCTGTTGTTGTTGCTATTATGTAGGTTGGGCCAGGAAGGGCATCCAGCATAAAACAATATTATTATTGTTATTATTATTATTATTATTATTATTATTATTATTGTTGTTGTTGTTGTTGTTGTTGTTGTTGTTGATGTTGTTGTTGTTATGTAGGTTGGATCAGGAAGGGCATCCAGCATAAAAACATTATTATTGTTATTATTATTATTGTTGTTGTAGTTATTATTAATAATGAGTTATTTTACACAATCTACGTTTACATAAAACCAACAAAAATAAACATCATTCAATTGTTTATTATGCAATTATATTTTTATTTAGGTGATTCAAATATGCACCTTTTTCAGTGTAATTGTTAGAATAAAGGTCAATTTGATGCAAAATTGAACTAAAACTACCCCCCCCCCCCCCCACACACACACACAAATGAAAATGTTCTCAAAATAATGTGGCACATTCCTGTACCAGACTACTTTATATAATCAGATGAGTCTACAAAGTATGTTTCCAGAAATAATAATTCGAGTGAAGAACATTGTTGTTTAGGTTTTATGGAAGTGATGCTTTATGAGCAGACTGGTGCTGGTACTGGTGCAGTAACATTGTGCAATAACTTTAGTGTTAAAAACTTTAAGTTGGTTCGTTCATAAACATTTACTTTGCCTTCAGTTATACATTACGTTGTTATTTTGGCAGACATGTCAGAATATATCTTGCTGGATGAAGTGCTACAGCTAGCTGCTGCTATGTGGGTTTGCAAATACCTTTTAAATTCTATGTAAAATAAGAGTGTAATTTAAAATTGACAGTAATCTAAAGGCTGATAAAACTCAGTTTCATGAAACCCGTGGGAATCTTTAGAGGTTGGAGTTGTTTAAAGATGTCAATGATCCCCACTGCTAGCCATTAGCTAATCACTCAATCCAGAATAAAATTATATTTCCCCAAACTCAAATCATTCAAAAAGCTATGTACAACAGGTAAGATATTCGTTGTTAATAACTTTCAGCAGCTCAGAACTAATCCTCGACTTGTGTTGTGTCAGATGGGTTCTTGTAACATAAACGGTGTGATTCTGTGTTCCCCGGCAGAACGGCACGGTGCAGTGTGACGCCATCTCCTGCCCTCCCCCTCAGTGCCCAGCAGGCACAGCGCCGGCCTACGTAAAGGGTGCCTGCTGCAAGGAGTGCCTGCGTGAGTGGAGTACTCTTAACCTCAACATCTTCCCACTCTTATGAAATCACACACAGTTTCACAAACACACACGCGCAGATTAGAGGGAAACAAACCTTCACCGGCAGATCGAGAGCTCGCACGCCTCCACAAGGTCTGCCTGACAATTGACCAGTGCTCTGCTGTGTTGCTAAGCTACCTCCTAACATGTCCCTTGAGACGAGTCCATCCTTTTGCATATACATGGACCAATCAATTATTCACAAGTTAGCTTCAAAACACAGATGGTCATCAGTCACACTCGTATGAGCCAGTAAATCTGGGATCTCTGCCTGTGATGTAAAGTACTTCCTATTAATGGTGTGGAGGCTGTGAGAGAAGTAAAGAGGGAAAAATGCTAAAAGGCTTAAACTGACGCTTGCACCATCTTCAAAAATGTCCATTTTTAATTTTTAGCACTCATGGGTTCTGGCTGGAGGCATAAATAATTCTGTTTCATCATATTGCTACAAAGAGGGTCCGCCTTTTTCTTCTTTTCCAAAAGACTTTGAGCTACGAGATGAACTCTTATTAGCCTCTTCACAGCAGCACACAGCATCTCGTTCTCAATCCTGCTCTCAGTAGATCCTTCCTCACCTCGTCATTCTTTAATTATTCGTCCTAATGAAACTTTAAAAAAAGATATATGTGGCTCAGCTGGCAGAGCTGTTGCCTGTCAGTCAGAAGGTCAATGGATCGAATCCCGGTCCGAGGACCCTTCTGGGTGGAGTCTGCATGTTCTCTCTGTGCATGTGTGGGGTTTCTCCGAGTACTCCGGTTTCCTCCCACAGACCAAAAACGTGTATGTTAAACTGATTGGTAACTCTAAATTGTCTGTAGGTGTGAGCGAGAGAGTGAATGATTGTTTGTCTCTGTGTGTCCCTGTGATGGACTGGAGACATGTCCAGGGTGTCCCTGTGATGGCTGGACATGGACACCAGTGACCCCCGCGATCCGAAAAGGAAGAAGTGAGTAAAGATAATGGATGGATGGTTTTGAAAAGCAGAAAAAGAAGATTATTATTCAGAGGTCCTCGTCCCCTTCACCTCCGGAGGCAGTAATGATGTTTTGGCCTGTCTGTGTGCTCATTTGACTCTACTGTTAGCAAAATATCTTATGAATCACTGGACATATTTTGGTGAAACTGTCAGAAAGTGATCATTGGTACATCTACAAATGATTAACTTTTGGACTCGATTTGAGAAGGCTGCCACCGCTATGTGAACCTTCAAACACAAACCAACATTTTTCAGTCAGGTCATCTGGACAGTTTCTTTTTTGTTGTTGTGCTGAAACGTTTCGCCTTCGATCTGGAACGCTTCATCAAGCCTTCCGATGATGAAGCCTTCCAGATCGAAGGCGAAACGTTTCAGCACAAAAAAAAAAGAAACTGTCCAGATGACCTGACTGAAAAATGTTGGATTGTATACCTGGATTATTAAGCATGGACTTTGTTGTCTTCAAACACAAAGTGCTTTTATTTCAGTCAATTTGACAAATATTAGCTTCAAATTTCTCTCTGGGATTAATTACGTTATTTTTTTTTTTTATTGAATTGAACTGAATAGAAATGAGGTCTTTTAGCAGCTGGGACTCGTCTTCAACTTGTACTTTGAGTGCTTTTTGATTGTTCAATATTTGTTTATAAAACTTTACCGTTACCTTTTGGAATGAACTTTGTTCTTATTAACTACTTGATGGATTATAATGAACCTCTCAGAAAAATAATCCATAGATGAATATCTGCAAATTATTGGCTGTTGGAGTCAACCCAGTTCAAGATGGCTGCCACAGCCATCTAATTTTTTAAAGCACAAAAATGGCCATAAAGTGGTCAACTCTACATCCATCCATCCATTATCTTTACCCGCTTATTCCATTTTGGGTCACGGGGGTCACTGGTGCCCATGTCCAGCAATCACTGTGCAAGAGGCGGGGGACACCCTGGACAGGTCTCCAGTCCATCACAGGGACACATGGAGACAAACGAGACAAACAACCATTCACTCTCTCACTCACACCTAGAGACAATTTAGAGTTACCAATCAGTCTAACATGCATGTTTTTGGTCTGTGGGAGGAAACCGGAGCACCCGGAGAAAACACACGCATGCACGGAGAGAACATGCAAACTTCACCCAGAAAGGCCCCTGGACCGGGATTTGAACCAGGGACCTGTGCTGAGAGGCAGCAGCTCTACCAGTTGCGCCACCGTGCTGCCGCCAACTCTACATAAATTGTGCAAATATTTTGTTGCAGAGTATTGTCCTCAACACTTATTTTATTTTAAGTGGAGGAGATTGTGCAACATCCAGTGCCTAAAATTGTGCCATTGGAGTCAAACTTGTTTTTCTGTTAGCAAAATATCATATGAACCACAAGAAAGATTTCAAGACTATCAGAAAGTAAATATTGTCGTTATAGCTACAAATACTTAATATGTGGCTGGTCGTCATGGCTTATCACCTTTAGCTTATATTAAAATGGATATACTGCAGTAAATTTTACAAGTATTGAGCAGAACTTATGTGTGGTAGTAGCTGACAGTCATTCACAACACATAATCCAAGCACTCACTAATCACACAATATGTCACATGATGAGATTGTGACTAATGCATCTATTTTTAGGTTTGACCAAAATATTTATAATCTCATTATTTCTCAACATACGATCATCATTTCCATTATTTGTACGTTAGTCTCATTGAAACACAATTTTCTCATTTGCAAGAGACACCTGTTATACAAAAATAAAACAATACAACCAATAAAATACATTAATATACAATATACGTATCAATTCAAGTGTATCAAAAATTCAAACAAAATGATTTAAGTTTAAATCTCTGGCATAAAAGTTTGGAGGTGAGTTTGACTTCCTTATTTCTTTGTGCTTTTATATTTATATACTCAAGTAAAGCACTATATTTAAGATTACAGAAATAATAAATAGTGTAGCAGAGTCTATGTTTGTCTTTCTTTTCCTGTTTGAACCTGCATTTTGCACAAGCGTTGAGAACCCACTCATCACAAACGCCCACACACTTCAGCTGTTGATCTGCTGCTTTTCAAACATGGATGGGATTCGGCTCTTCGTCAGCAGATGAACCATTAGTCGTGGATTCTAATCATCCTGCGTCAGCATCATTTGCACGGGTCGGGTGGGGTTTTAAACATAACTCCATCTGCAGCTGTGCTTTGCAAATATAAACACGACGCAGGTAACCTGCTTCGAGTCAGTCCCCCCGAGCTCACTTATCTCTGCGAGGTGGGCAAACATGCAGCTAATTACGCACACTGCGGTTTTTAAGAGAAGAGTGCCACAAATTTCTCCTCTACAAAGACACGATGCGCTCGCCGAATTAAAACCTTATCTCACAGCGGGGAGGCGTGCTGGGAGGAGTTGTTTTATTTATTTATATTAAAATTTCTCTCAAGTAGAATGTCAAATGAATGTTTCAGAAGTCGTCGTCTTTCATGATACACCGCTTTGTGATAGTGTCTGACCTGCTGTGTCAATCATCCCTGCCGCTCGCATCACTCCGAGTCTGTTTGACCCCAACTGCTCATCAAACATTCCTTTTTTTATTTTGTCTACATGAATATGTCTGAACACTTCACCTGCAACCCTTCCAATTACGCAGAACAGTTGCTTCTCTCTGCAGCTTTCAGCAGTGCTTCCTCTGCTTGTTAATGATGTCGTCCCCTTTTGTCTTGCAGAAGCTAACTGGGTCTGACTGCTGGATTTGGTTTAACTCTCATTTACCTGAGGCCCCAAAAAGCTGCAGATAAAGATGCAATGCATGTCTGATGTAGCTGTTAAAATCATGATTGGGTCGAATGTTAAGATAACATGACTAGAGTTAAAGTGATGATTTTATTTAAACAACAGTGGCTTATATTTTAAAAAATTACACTTTGCTTTTTACAGAAAACCTTCAAAAATGATGTTATTATCACATTCATTATCAGAGGATTTCACTCAGTTAGTTAGCAGTGTTTGTGTTAGGATGACTCTAAGCTGCTACTAAATTTATTTGAGCTCAAAATTTGTAAAATAAAGAAATCCATTGCATTATTGCCATTTTCATATTTCTTAAAGTTGATTAGATTTAAAGCCCGTCTTGAAATGGATTGATTTAAATGTGGATCAATTAATCAGATCTGAATTCACGGATTACTTTTTACAATTTTTTATTTAAATCCTTTCTTTTGTTTATGAGATATGTTGCTGACAAACAGAGACTGTTCCATTATGTTATGAAATATCTATTAGGAATTAATATACTGTAATTCTGTTTTTATTAAATGTTCATTTACAACTCAGGGCCACCGTATGAAACAGTTCATCGACTATTACACTTCTTCTAGCTTGATGTGACAACTTCAAATATCTATTGGCAAAAGTTTGTAATTTAAGACATTTGCAAACAAATTACATGATTTCAACTTTAGTGTTTATTTTTGTCTTTTTGACTTGTATGAAAAAACCAAAATGGCTAATGATTGTGGCAGATTTAACAATATGAACACCCCTCCCCCCACACACATACTGTAGGTCTAAACTGGTTAAATGCTGTAAGCATTAAAGTATCTGGTTTGAAAATGATAAAACATTCATAAAACAAGATCTTCATAATGTCAACATGCCATGCATTTTCTGTGCATTTTTTGTTGTTGTCTTTATTAAAATTAAAAATGGTAAATCTGAAATAATGATAAAATATAAACAAAAAGCTCCATATTTTATATTAGCACACATTTAGTTGACCTGCATTGTTCTGATTAAAACAGTAGATAAGAGGGAACCTAAAACAAGTAACGTGCAGGCATTTTACATGTTTTAATACATTTATTTCTCCCTGTGTGTGTGTGTGTGTGTGTGTGTGTGTGTGTGTACTCTTTGTGCTTCCAGCCGTCTGTTTGTTTGGTGGAAGAGACTTGGTGGAAGGAGATCAGAAGGCTGTGCGTGACTCCTCTGGCAGGTGTTTGCTCTTTGAATGCAGGGTAAGTCGACCAACACTCACAGAACAGGACATTTTGCTGAAAATGATTTTTTAAAGTACGTTTTTTAAAATTCTGTCCAGAAAAGATCTTACTTTAATGCTAATACTTCAACGTTAATAACGTCCTTGTGACGGTGTGCTGTAGGTTATTTCATTAAATACTCATTCCATGACGGCATGGGTCCAGCTAAGACTTAATGAGCTCATTTGTCCACTTGACCCTAAAGTTGTTGGTTTTTCTCAGAACAAATGTCTTTAATAACGTTTCCTCTGCAGCATTCAGCTCTAAGAAAGCTTGAATAGCTGTACTGGTTTATATCCTACAAAGGTGAGCAGGTATTTAAATAAAGTGGTTTCACCACAAAATGTTTCTTAATAAACATCAACATTTTTCTTCAACAGAGTTTATTCTGCAGTCCACTGAGCTGTGATTTCTAAATTCAGCTCTGGGAAACAACATCACACCCAGTTTAAAGAAACTTGTCGAATGATTGTTTCCATAAAACTTGGAAGTTATTTTCAAATACAAATAGCAGCATCAGTTAGCTGTAGCACTTCTGATGCAGCCTGGAACACAGGAGTGTCATAAAGTGTTTGCTTTAGTAATGTGAAACTGACAGTTATGGAAATGTTATAAAATAGTTTGTATTAAATGACTTTGACATTTTTAAGATTGCAGTTGTTTAGAACAAGCTTTATCATTTTTGGCTGACTTTGGCTAGGTGTTAGATGCTAGGAGCCTGACTGATATATCAGTAGGGCCCATATTTTAGGCCACTATAGATGTTTGTGAACATATCAGTATGGGTGATAACTGTCCCATTATGCACTGATATAAACACTTCTAATTTTCACCCCTAAAATGCTGGAACCAGTCGTGATTGTACAATATATCCAGTAGAGGGCGCATGAAGACCACTTTTAAGTCATGGCCGTTCACTTAAGTTTCACTTTCACTTGCAGCACAGATGAAGCAGCTATCAATACTGTGTAGAGTATTTTGCTGAACAGAGTATGGTAAGTTTATTTTAACTGATCTGTAAAACAAATCAACATTAATAAATTATCCTCAATCCTCTAACACGCTTGTCTTTGGTTACGTGCCTCTCAACTTTATTTTTCAAAATTGAGCCATTTACTTCAACCTAAATAATAAATATTAACAATCTTTGAACAGAAACTCTACTTCAAAAGATTCAAATTATCCATTTATTCATGTTCCAGCTGCAAATCAGATAACTACTGTTATGGGTGTGCTCAGTGGCTAACTGATGTTAGCAATACAAGACAAGATGAACATACTGGTCTGCATTTTCCTTTTCCAACGTTGTAACAATATGCTTACTAGCAGTGTGTGGCTGATTTAATGCTGTACAAGCTAAAATAAACACTTTTTTTTTCTTTTTTGTCACAGCCATCGTAACTTAATATGAACATAGCAGCCATGTCAGATTTTGTTGTTGAGAAATCTGATTTATCAACTTGGAATTAAGATGTTTTCAGCAACGCTCAAGTGAATTTTTCTGACTTTGATATTTGTAATTCCCTTTTGGATAAATGGAAAAATCAGGAGACAGTTTTTGCTTTTTACTGAAGGTACAGAGTTACAAATGCATCTTTATTGTTCATAAATAGGCTCTGTTATATGCAGCTATTAAAAGTCCACAATGTTTATTAAATATCTGGGTACACACATGCTATAAGTTTTTTGTCCTGTTTGACTGTTATAGCAATGTTGTGATACCATCTAACCTTCACTGAGTGTTCCATAAAAACAAAAAATACATCATTACTCAGAGAAATAAGAATCAAATTTAGTTGGGCGGTATCTTACAGCACAAAGGAGGCTTTTATTCAGATAACAAAACTGACTAAGTCCTGCTGCTTGAGTTTAAATTTGGAAACCAAAGCAGTGCATCTGTCAGTGAGAGCAGACTGCAGCCATTTTTCAGCACCAATCACCAGATAAAACGTAGACTCAAATTAGGTTCATTTGCTAATTATTCACAGTATTTGCTTTTGTCTGCCTGTTGCACCAGATGGGCGCCTAACTCACATTTGGGAGTAATTCACTTGATGACATTACACCAGGCGGGCTCAATCAATCACAGAAAAGAGATTTGAAGTTTTAAATCACCCAACTCTGTCACAACAATCAACTAATCCGTGAATTCTGATGCCATTCAAATCAGCAGCTTCAGACAGCTGCTTGGCCTGCTTGCTACACCTGGCCCATCTGGAGTCCCAGGTAACTGACTGGCAGTCCCAGGCAGATCAAAGAAATGAGGACGGGGAGTGCTGTCAGTCATTCTGCTGCTGCAAACTTCTGCAGGCTTCCCCTGACAGCTGCTTGTCTCGCCTCTGATCTTCGGTCTGCCTGCTGGCTGAAAGGGGTGGATTGGTGGGGGGACTGCACATTCTGGATGATGCAAATAGACGACGAAGACATTGTTTGCACACCTTTAGGGAAAGTTTCTCCAAAATTCTATCCAGTCATGCTCATTTCAGGGTGTCAAACTCAGTTACTACGGGGACCAATTTTTTAAATATGTTCGAAGCTACAGGCCAATTTCAGGCAATATCTGACATATTTTCTTTGTTGCAGGTTCATCAACAAGAGTTTGATGGTTCTCATTTTACGTTCTGCTCTTTCCACATAAAAAATCCAAGGTTTATGAAAACTCCAACCATTCATTCAACCTTTATTTAGACAGGTAATCCCATTGAGACTCGAGGACTCATTTACAAGAGAGACCTGATTTCAACAAAAAAAAATGACAACAATGGACAACAGCGACAACAATAAACAGTTATAAAAAGTCATACTGCAGGTTTTTTTTTGTTAGTTTTTTTTTTTACAAATAGGATGGCTAAAAGAAAAAGGTAACAAATAAACAGCTAGATTCTAAGGCGAATGTAGAAAACTAAAAACAGGAACATGTCTGCGTTGGTCCCTGCCAGGAGTCCAACAGATTCTTAAAGCCACTTAGAGAGGTCAAGGTCGAGAGCTTCAATTGTTTTTGTAAGGTATTCCAGGAAACAGGAGCAGAGTAGGAGAAGGCCCTTTTGCCTAGTTCAGTCCTCATTGAGGGAACACTGCAGGTAATAATGTCCTGAGAGCGCACGCCATAGCTGCACTCACGCAGAGACATGTAGGAGGAGATGTATGAAGGCAGCAGACCAAGAAGTGATTTAAAGATGAAAATGTGCCAGTGGGAGAGTCTGCGTGAAGTTAATGATGTCCAGTTAACCAGTGAGTACAGGGTGCAGTGGTGGGTGCGATAATCACAGCCAGTTATTATTATATTCTGGCTTAAAAGTTAGCCAGCTGTCATGAGAAATTTGCACTAAATAAAGCATTTATTAGATTTTTAAAACAAAATGAGAAGAGATAGAAAATGTTTTACATTTGAAATATCTTGGGGGACCAAATAAGTTGTTAACAAGGGCCAGATTTGGCCCACGGGCCTTGGGTTTGGCACGTGCTTCAGAACATTAGACTCTAGATCAGGGGTCTGCAACCTTTATGATCAAAAGAGCCATTTCTGCCCCTTCATTCACTAAATTAAACGTGTCCAGAGCTGCAAAAGCTTCTATAATTGCCATTATAAACTGGTGGCCCATGGGCCACGTTACGTTTGTTAGAGGAGGCTTTTCTGGCCATTAGGCATTAAATTATAAAACTAAAAATATCCGGTGATTGTTAACATTTATTCCAACAATTTTCAGTCAGGTCATCTGGACAGTTTCTTTTTTTTGCTGAAACTAACTGATTCTTCCCCCAAACAACTTACTCCAAAGTGGAACAAACCAGTTATGTTGGTGCTAAGATGGTGTCTTTTGCATGCCCCTTCTCGGTTTGCCTGAAGAAACATAGTCTCACCAGCCTGTCCTGGGTCTTCTAGGGTCTCCCTAGGGAGGTGCCCAGGGAGCATCCTTACCAGATGCAAGAACCACCTCAACTGGCTCCTCTTGACGTGAAGGAGTAGCGGTTCTACTCCGAGTCTCTCCCGGATAGCTGAACTTCTCACCATATCTCTAAGGGAGAGTCCAGCTACCCTGTGGAGAAAACTCATTTCAACCGCCTGTATCCTGTACTCTTTCGGTCACTACCCAGAGCTCATGACCATAGGTGAGAGTAGGAACGTAGACTGACCGGCAAACAGAGAGCTTTGTCTTACAGCTCAGCTCTCTCTTCACCACAATCGACCGGTACAGAGTCTGCAATACTGCAGATGCTGCACCAATCTGTCTGTCAATCTCACAATCCATTCTTCCCTCACTCGTGAACAAAATCCCGAGAAACTTGAACTCCTCCACTTGAGGCAGAACCTCACCCTCGACCTGAAGAGAGCAATCCACCCTTTTCCGGTTGAGGACCATGACCTCAGATTTGGAGGTGCTGATTCTCATCCCAGCTGCTTCACACTCGGCTGCAAACCGCTCCAGTGAGAGCTGAAGATCCCGGCACGATGACACCAACAGGACCACATCATCTGCAAAGAGAAGAGATGGAATCCTGAGGCCACCAAACCGGAAACCCTCCATCAATTGTCCGCACCAAGAAATTCTGTCCATAAAAGTTATGAACAGAATCTGTGACAATGGGCAGCCCTGGCGAAGTCCAACTCCCACCTTCCTGAAGGGGTCCGACTTACTGTCGGCAAAGCGAGCCAAACTCTCCACTTGTATAGGGACCGAAATGCCTGTAACAACGGGTCTCCAATCCCATACTCACAGAGGCCCCCCCCCCCCCCCCCCCCGCCCCCCCCCCCCCCCCCCCCCCAGTGTCCCCTGAGGAACACGGTCGAATACCATCTCCTAGTCCACAAAACACATGTAGACTGGACTGGATGGGCGAACTCCCATGACCCCTCAAGGACCCTAGTGAGTGTAAAGAGCTGATCCAGTGTTCCACGGCCAGGAAGGAACCCACATTGTTCCTCCTGGATTTGAGGTTCGACCAACGATCAGATTCGTTTCTCCAGTGCCCCTGAATAGACCTTAACCAGGGAGGCTAAGGAGAATGATGCCCCTATAATTGGAGCACACCCTCTGGTCCACCATTTTTGAAGAGGGGAACCACCACTCCAGTCTGCCAATCCAGTGACACTGCCCCCCGATGTCCACATAACGTTGCAAAGGCGTCAGCCAAGACAGCCCCACAACATCCAGAGCCTTAAGTAAATCAGAGTGAATTTCATCCACTCCCTGAGCCCTGCCGCCTCAGAGCTCTTTAACTACCTTGGCAACCTGAGCCAAGGTTATGAACAGATCAACCCCAAAGTCCCCCGACTCAGCTTCCTCCATGGAAGACATGCTTGTGAGATTGAGAATGTCTGAGAAGTATTCTTTCCACTGTAGTGGCTACTACATTAAATACTTTTGGATTCATTAAATAAAATAGTAGACACCTTGGTTCTGTTTGACAGCAAAATGGGGGTTTTAGTTGATGCTTTACCTCTAAGGTGGAACAGCTACAAATACTTCAAGACCTCAAAAGACAGAACCCCTGTCTCAACATAGTTCTGTTCTTATTTATACCTTTCATTGACATCAGAGGGTTGTATAACACTTTTATCAGTCCTTTCCCTTTTTAGGAAAACACTTGAGAAACAACACAAAGTTTGTTTTCTCAGTCATCCAGGTATATAACAACAAAAA